TTTATGATCGGGTCTAAACAACTACTCGACACAGAACGTTCAAATTTGAGCACACAATAGAGGATAGATAGATCTATTACCATCTCGGCGTTGAAATTCAAACTCCTTATAGTTTTCGGTGTACCTGATACGAAAGTGTTCCCAACACCAAAAGTATAGGTTAGTTTATGTGTACGAACTTCAACGTCCACATATCATTAGTTTGCCCTATTTTCTGATTGGTTGCCGAGTTTCATTCGGATTGGTTCGGAAATAGAGCAGACCGAGGTTGACAAAGTTAGTCACCTACGCTTTGGCCGGGTCCGCAAAAATCACCCGCAAACGGAGACCAAATTTTCGCCGCACGGGAAAGCCCGATTGGCATTGCTAAGCATATACGTGGTGAAACTAGCATCCAACCTACTCCTCAGGCCTGATCTTCAATTTTTTAAAATCAGAGTTAGGTGAAAGAAAGGTGCGACTAATGTGAGCTTTTCTGATCGATCGGGACATCGGCCCTGAACGTGCCAATATTGAAGGAAAGAATCAAAAGTGCCCCAAAATGTCCGTCATGTACGAGGGGTTACTTCCCTTAGTTCGGCACATCCCCCCCCTCCCAGTCAGGCTTGTTTATGTTTTGTTTATATTTACATGTGAACCTCACCTTAAGTACTTTATCATTATTTTTTAGTTCATGAGTTTATTTTGTCTTTAGTTTCAGTGTTTCTTAATCTATGGCTGTTAGTTTCTTCTCCTTGTATGTCAAAACACTTGACAGAGAACTTGAATTAGTACCATGCTCACAACAAAACCTTCTTTAATTTTTACCTTCTTTCAACTTCCTCAAAACAGAGCGATTTAGTTTCAAATAAAGAGTTCTTTTCTTCTTTTTCCTTCCATAAAGAACATTTTCTACATAAGGCTTAGAATAGCATTGACAACTGAAATACCTTAATGGTATGGTAGACAATTGACTACTAAAGCACTTTTTGTGTAAAAATACACTTCCTTTAAATGCATGTCCGTGCATATATTATTTGCATAATACACTGTAGGGCCTACTGCTGGAACCAGATTTGACTAGGTCTTCCAGGAGCGAGGTTCCACAGACTGGCCTTAAATGCACTATGTAGATCTATGTCTAACACTGTTCTGTAGCTGGAATAAAGTTAAATGCATAGTCATATCAGCAACACATGTCTACTGACAATTCCTGCCTGGCATGCTTAACTCACTCACTGCCAGGCATTTCTGGGCAGGGTAACAGAAGAATGCCTGGCTTTCGGGACCATCTTCAAAACCTCACTGTGAGCTTATTATTTTGTGTTCAGCATTGAACTTTTCCACAGACAATAACATTGAAACATACTCAACAAATTTTATGTGTTTGTGAATATGTGGCAAAATCGAGAAAAAAAAACTTTTACATAACATTTAGGTGCTTGGTACATTCAGTCGATATGCATGCCTTTATGTCTTTGTCTCTGCAAGAAATAGATGTTGTATCAACTGACAAATGTTGAAGAGTCACTATGAAAAGATATGACAAATTTTAAGTATATAATCATGAGTCTACCCATCCTGAGCATCAACATCAGGGTGCGTGGTTGCAGGACGGGACATGGCAACTGGGGGAGGGGTGCCACTATTTGAAGTTTGTTGTGTAGACCTAGGAGGGTCTATGTCAGCTGTATTCCTATCATTTGGGGTCTAAATCTATGTTGTGTGAGCTTTGACGTTTGCGTGACGGACCTGAACCGTGACCGGGAAGCATCGGATCATTGGTCCGAGCATGGGGAACACCTGATTGATCTAGCACAATTTTCATCTTCCCTTGTGTCCGCACCTCTCCTATTTCCTTCCCTATACTCATTATCAACTCTGTATGATGGTTCATCATCACTATCATTTGCAAAAAGATCTAAATCTGACCCTTTTTTGACGAATGGGTCCGTCAATTCACATGTTCCGACCTCGTTGAGACGCCGTCGCCATCGTAACTGAGTGTTAGTAGTTTTTAGTTCGTTTCGGGTGAGTTTGAAAAAGTCTGATTTTTAACTAACTCAGTAAAGGGAAGTTACTGCAACAAAGCGGAATCTAAACTAAACTGGTTTATGTCGCCTACTTCCCACAGCCAAGCCTGAAACACGTCGGGGTATGTTTGAAAAATAGTAGAAAAAACGCACCGGAGTGGGTTTCGGGTTTGGCAGGCAGTGGTCTATGCGGATCACCCGACAGGGTTCGGGCATGGTAGTGAGTGAGTTAAACTTAAAAGAATAAGATTGATTAAGAGTAATTACATAACAGAAATAATTAAAGATGAAGAATCTTTGAAAAATGAATCTACCCAACAGAACAAATTTTTCTTTAAAAAATCAGAGGAATGAATAATGAATCACTGAAAGAATGATCTCAAAAAATTTGTTTACAGGTTTAACTCTTTTTATCCGGGCTACGAGTATAGGCCTACTCGTAACGAGGACCAGTCCGGGCTACGAGTATTCTCGGAACAGCGATACGGTCACGTCAAAGAAGCTAGTTCTGCTTGTAATTACCAAAATACGCAAATACGGCGATGCTAGCTCTGTCTGAATATTTTAATTTTCCTATGAACAGTTGTTTCTTTGTTTTTGATGGGTGTAGAAGCTTGAAAGATGTCTCGAAGACGCACATTCACGACCGACGAAGTACTTTTTGAAGTGGCGCTGGGTTGTGAGGGGAAATGATACTAATTTGATGAAAGTGACTCTGAAATAAGTGCCCTAAATTCCGTTGTGGATGATAAGAAACAGGACTTAGACTCATCTAATAGCGATTCAGATCATGGTGAAGGGGTCAGCTGGAATTCGTGCTCAATGGGTAGGGCTAGATCTAGATCTATAAAATCCACTGGGACGTCGTGGGCGCGGCAATCAGGGTCAAGTTCGAGGGTGGAATACACCTCAAAATCTACATAGTGCTATTGGTGTATTTCCTAACCACGTACATTTACAAAAACTACATTCAATTTCTAATATAACTGCCAAATTTCCTTAAAATCTTAGAGTAAATGTAAGAAATATAGCACTTTGAACTATACGCACTGACTTCTGACTCATACGGCGTGGCGGCCCCAGGACTGGTACAGAGTCCGTGGGGGTACGGCTAGGATAAAAAGAGTTGAGATGTGGGTGTTTTTTACACCCCAAAAGACAAAAATGTTAATAATTTAAGAGGCGCGCTTCCGATGCTTCCTGGCAGGGCCAAGCTGGGCCGAGAGGGATACAACATCCCAGCAGGATGCTGCGGACACTTGATAAAAAAAATGTTCCCCACTTAGGAAGCGAAAACAGGTCTCCTGCTAGCAAGTTCAGCAAAGCGCCTAACTGCTACGTCACAGGCGCCGTTAAGAATGAACTTACTAATGACAAAATGAATATATCTAATGACAAAACATCATAATGACTTCCAAAAGACAAGTGAGCATACTCTTGTGCGAGCCAGGGATGAACCAGAGGCAGCTGTTGTCCTTGAGAGCATCCTCCAGAGGAATCCACACACCAACCAGACGCTTGGGGCTGGTGTTGAGGAAAGTCGAGTCTTGATGTGGAGTCACTAAGGGGAAAGTAGTAAAAATAATAATAATGATAATAATAATAACAATAATATTATCAATAATTGCATGTATAACATAGTAAAAAAAAAAAAAAGGAAACCAAGAAAAAATGACAAAATAAGATAAAGTGCATCATCCCTCATAGATTTTCTTTTGAAAGAAATCAATAAGGTGCATTCATGGCCATAACCAAGCTCATCAAAATCATGAATTCAAATGGCTGTGACTACCATGAAATAATTAACCCCTCTTACCCTCTCCCCTCCTTACAGACGTATACATGCACTAATCTGTGCTCTATAACTCTGTAAATACTCCTTTGAAGACAGAACAGCTATTTCAAGGAGGAAAACCTCAGATTTAACTTTCATCTCTGAAAAGACTGAGCAAGGAAATCTCATGCAACTTCATCAGAGATCTGAACTTGGGTCAGGTGTATCAGAGTCCAGAACAATACTAAGAGTGCTATGGCGGTCAAAAAGTTTTTATGTAAAACATAAGCTGTCAATTATATGGACATATATTCCCGTGCCCCCTATTCTAGTTAATCAAAGCCTATTATCTCTCAACAACCCCCTTTTCATCCATCATTAGCTCAACTTCTAGACAACATAAAACTGTGCAAATTAGAAGAGAAGTTAACAGGTAGGACTAGTGAACATAAGATGACAGCAAGGCTTACCAACTCCACCAATCTTAGGTTGCTGAGGAAAGAAAAAGAAATAAATTTTCAAAACTTAAGAACCATCAGCATTCACACAAAAAAATTTAATGGAGATTAATTTTCAGTAGAGTCCCCCACCTCTTTTAAAATAAAATATCATTAAAATATCATAACAGGACCAAATTATGTCTATATCTTAATAAATCTGGTAACCAAAGATGTGAATTGTCACGTTTGGCACCAAGGAGAAGGACCATTGATTGACAATGAATTCTCTTCTTTTGTCAGTAACTTCCTGGAGAAGCCTACCGACAATAAAAAGTCCATGTAAACAGTGATAAACAAAGGACAATTCAGCAATATTTTCTCTTTTGGAAATAAGTAACTTGTAATATCTCTGTTGAATACGAAAGTAAGAAAGTGAGTCAACATTAGTCTGAGGAAATAATTGCAACACTCGAGAAGAATTAAACAGTTGGCGCAAACAGACCACATTTAACAGAATTTTCACTTTTGCAGCTAACACATTCCAAGGCACAGATTACCACTTGCAAAGTCCAGATTGAAGGAATACAATTGATACAGATTATTCACTTGCAGCCAGCGTTTATTTTTTTTAAAAAACTTTTTAGACAAAATTGCTTTTAACCAGGTTCGTGAGCTTTTTTGGAGACATTTATTTGCCTCATATTTTTTGTATTATTATACTCTACAAATGTAAAAAAAAATAACACAAATAGCTACCAGCATGGATAACAGACTACAATCTTTCCTTAAATGAGCATGTAAAGAATATCTTTAAAAAGCTCTTCACAGTAATTCTTCTTACATTACCTTGAAAATGTACATACTCTGGCAAATCACTGGGTCTGTAAAACCAATGGCTCTGGAAAGGTTCTGAAATAGAGGAGGAGCTGAAAAATCAATAACCGCTGTAAGACAGATAAACAGAAACGACAGCATGAAACAAAGGAAATACAACCTACAGTGTCACTCTCCAACCACCCACACTGGTTTCGTCAGCTCCTGACAAGGTGGCAACAGTGAGTGGAATACTATTTTATATATTTATATCTATATGTGTCATGACGTGGTGGAATCAGGCTCTCGTCAATTTTTGGGGATGTAGAGTTATTGCTATCATCTTAAAGCTTGTTTACTTGTCTTTATTTGGATGAAAATAATATCCATTTATCTTGAATACAAGTCAAGATATTTGCAAATGAAGGAGGTGGGGGTCACCCGGTTTCAGAGGTAAAATTAGTGAGAAAATGTCCGCCCAAAGTTTGTTATTTCCTTAGCTTAAGCGACAGTGGTAACAGAAAATTCACATTTTTTGTGCCTTCAATCAACGTTTTTCAGCAAAATCCACACAGAAATGAGTTCTTTAATGGGCACGAAAGGTGTTGAGCCAAAAGCCAAAAATTCGATAAAAATTCACAAACCTGCGGAAAAATGCCAGTTTCTCCACTTTGATTATTTTGAGGAGAGCCTGATTCCACCACACTGCCTCACATATATCGCTAGCCACGTGATTCAACCGCCTAAGTGACAAAAATTTCGAAAATCACTTTTTGATCCCTTTATGTAGTACAGCCTTTGATACACCTTATGTTAAAATTCCGAGTTTGAAAGATTACTGCAAAGTGTTTCAATCTTTCAATAGATCAATCGCCTATATCACACCAGTCCCCAATTTCTACGTATTTCAACCGCCCAAGTGCCAGTTTTGCAGCCTGGTGGCGATCGGGCAGTTGAATCACACAGATTCAGTGGCTTGTTGAGGTGTTCACCTGTCGCGTAGGCAGAGCGACCCACATGACTATGGCCTTTGTCAAAATAGACTTGAAAGTAACAGCAAAACAAACTGCTGCCTTCGCTAGCTTCGACTCAGATCGAACCCTATCGATAGCCAGATGATTTTGTCAAGGCAGTTTGCGTAATCTATTACTAGGTTTGGTAGTCCAAGTGTAGTTGAGAAGGACAAAATGGCATCAAAGAATATGTTAATACTGACTGGACCAAGTCGGTAAATTGTGGCAAACGCTGCTGGCGAATGAATTTTTTTAAAGTCTGTGATTGACAGCTAAGGGGCACTTATTTCAAATTCGGTTGAACTAATGGATAATATTTTTTATAGCAACTTTTCGCGTTTCTTAATTTGCTGTAAGTCTGCGCCCCTTGCTGTATCTGTCATGTAGGCCTACCATTCTTGAATCATTGATTAGTTGAGCAGTGCCCGGTAGATGATACTTAATTTGTCACTCGAAAAAAAGCAACTCAAAAACACATTCGCCTCGAAAATTCTCTCTTCAACAAACCTTCAACTTCAACTTTCCAGCTGTACACTTCAATTTGAAACAAATCTCATACATTCTACCTACATGCAAAACAATGAGTTTGTATGCAACTGTCCTCACACAGTGGTTATTCATGACTGTAGCAAAGACAGTTTACCTGACTTGACGATGGGAGCTCCATGATTGTCAAATTACCAGAGAACAGAAGAGGACAAGCTTTTTTGTGATAAGAAATTCTTCGACAAACTTGACGAAATTGCTTTCTCATTACTACAGACAGAATACAGGCAAAATCTATCTTAACTACTACTTTCAAAGCCTTTAGAGAGGGTATAAAAGAAAAGGGAAAGAGTCACACAGACACATTGTCCCAGACGACTTTAGAGAGATATTCAAAAAGAGCAACCTGTTGTTGTTAGTATCTCGGAAGGATCAATGTATGCAAGGTAAGAAAGAGAATCTAACAAGAAGCTTGCCCAAAACCCAGTGAATGGGACCAGAGATTACGTCTAGTGTGCATAGACTTGGAAGCGGATTTGTTAGTACGCCGCTGAACACATCTGCAGCACTATATCATAACAAGACCAAATTATCTGCCCATATTTTTAAAAATTTGGTAACCAAAGATGTGAATTGTCACGTTTGGCACCAAGGAGGACCATTGATTGCCAATGAATTCTCTTCTTTTGTCAGTAACTTCCTGGAAAAGCCTACTGACAATAAACGCCACGTTCATCACATGTATGTATAGTGATGGCTGTACTTATCAGACCACAACAGTATCTTGTCAAATGCAATCAGCGACATTTGTACCAGATAAAACAAAACCATTGAACACAAATACCTTGAAAAATAACAAACGCAAATGAGTGGACAGCCCACTGTAATCGAAAGGTCCCTGAAAAATGGTATGGTCTATGTACTCACGGATAATCTTGAAAGTTTTTAAGAAAGCAAGACAATACCCCGCCCCAACACCTCCCCCTCCCCCCCTTCCTAACCTTTGATGTTCGATTTGTGGACCATTCAGACCTGGCTGAAACAAAAACGACCCCGTTGTCACAAACGTTCGTTGCTTTTGATACACACTGAACAAAAACAATTACAATACGGTACAAATTGAACGTCAAGATGAATGGTCTTTTTTACGTACTCCATGAGGCCAAAAACAATCCTGCCCCAGAAGTCCAAACCAAATAGCTAAAATAATTACTTTTAACTTTATAATTACTTTAAAAACTATTATGATTTGCTTTTGCCGATAACTCAAACGACCAAATGACCACTGGTGTTCGTAGAGTGGCGTTGATTAACGTGATTCAAATGTCTAGGTGCCGTCATACTGTCACTTAGGCAGTTGAATACATGCAGATTTTAGTAGATCTGGACCTTCTATGTCCAGTAACTTATGTAAGAAAGCTTTTTTCATAAAAGTAAGTTACAGACCATCGTCTTACCTCATCTGAATTTCAGATTCATAGGTACGAGCATAAAGAAATAAAACAGTTTTTTGCTTCTCCTGAAAAATTTGTCTCTTGGCACTTAGGCAGTTGAATCACGCGGCTAGCGATATATATAACTAATCAGCTAATTTGATTTAGGGAAAACCTTGCCACTAGCCCTGACTATGTCAATAATAGACACACCAAACAGAGAGAGTTCTGTAGTGAATTGTTTATACCTGCACACCACCACAACTGTATGACCATCGATACAAATTCCTGGACAACAAGGACATCCTTCCCTCCCTCCCTCCCTCTCTCTCTCTCTCTCTCTCTCTCTGTCTCTCTCTCTTTCTCTCTCTCACCTTAATCTTATCACTTTGGGTGACTTTACTGAAAGCTGAATCTTGGCAATGAAGGGCTGAAAGTACAAAAATGGAAAATGCAAGTTAAAAAAAGTATGACAATATCACACCACCCCCCCCCCCCCCCCCCCCCCTTTTACCACCACATACACAAACAAATGAAATCAAAACCGTTTTAAAAAAACAACCAATCCTACACCTTTGATTCTCAAAGGAAACATTAAATACTAAACCTCTCTATACTCATTACAGCAAAAAAGAATCCTTTAATGCCCATTCCATTTGATTGATAGTAGTAGTAGACATGCAATACCACACCGTGGGGCCTGCCAACAATCCATATTCCACAACGGATAATATAATCATGTTGCATTTATCTTATCACTCACCTGCATACTATATATGGTGGTATTCTTTTAACTGATTTTTAAATCCTATTTTCCTTGAACATGTTGACAATAAACCCATCCACAACTAACTTTATCAAGACTATGATGTTGACAAAGCCCGATTTGTATTACTACTAGTACTGTATCAAAAATTTGATACCTGATTAAAAGGTAAAATCAAATGGAATGTTGAGATCTTGTTTTCTTTTGATTCTTCTATTCTTGTCGCTGTTGAAACAGATTCAGCTTTTTGAAATCTTTTGCCCGTCTAAGTTCAGGTGGGAATAAAAATTGTCCACGTCCCTCTACTAAGATTTCTCAGTTTCTTTATCACTGACAATGTGCTGTTAACGTTCATTTATGCTGCTGGTGCAATATAGCCTATTTTACGTGGTCAATGCCTATAAACAGTAGACTACAAATCTATTGTCAGGAGACAGAGTTTTGAGGGTACGGGATTGTCATATTTGAAATCCAAGAAACTTGAAATGATTCATCAGATTCAAACCAGCACCCTGCAAGTGTTTGACCACGACAGACTGCTATCAACATAGATAAAACTAGAATCAGTCTGTGTATAGATCAACTCACTACAAACAGTAGAATCAGCAGCAACAGTGCTACTTTTAACGAAAAGCACTTTTAAAAAAATATAAAGTTATGGGCAAAAAGTGTCCAAACGCCAAATACATAATGGCTAAGAAAATCATTATTTTTTAACCAGAAGCCCTAAAATATCTCATACATCATTGTTGTATCTAAGGGAATGCTACATTATCATTGAAATTGCTATGTGTGAGGCATCGTGGTGAAATCAGGCGCCCGTCAAAATTATAAAATTGAAGAAACAGACATTTTTCCGTCAGTTTGGCAATTTTTTTTTTTCAAATTTTGTAAATTCTTGAGCTAAACACCTTTATTTCCTTATCAAAAACATATTTCTATGTGAATTTTACTGAAAACGATTAAAGGCATAAAATACGTAACTTTTCAGTTTTCAGGGCCTCACAAGTTATTGAAGTTACCTAAATTTGGTGGCCAGTTTCTCGAAAATTTTATGACTGAAACCAGGCGACCCCACCTCTTCAATCGTAATCATCTTGACCTCTATTCAAGATAGATAGGTATTTTTTTCCATTGAAAGCAAGGCAAATGAATTTTATAAGCTTTTATATGATATCAATAACTCCAAATGCCCAAAAATTAACGAGCGCCTGATCCCACAACATCATGGAACATGTATAGATTTTTATCTCTGATTTCATGGACACATTGGAAACTTTACTATTGTTCCTCAAAATCTTGGATTAGCAATGAGGCACATGTTGCACTTTAAAGCCCTTCAAATGAAGTTGTACTTGAAGAAGCCGCGTGGGGTACTCGCTGATACAAAGGAAGAAACAAATGCAGTTTCTGAGACACTTGAATAGATAAGAGCCTTAAACAACTAGCTCTCACTTTTAAAGCTGAAGGCAAATGAGGCATGGGTAGACCGAAAGCAGCTTACTTGGAAAGCCTAGACAGGGGGCTTACAGGAAAGATAAGGATAACATCGCTTTTTTGAGAGCACCCAAGCAAAAGAATGCATGGTGAACCATGATCGCTGGTGTTTACGCAGATCAAGCACTTGATGGTGATGATGATCCTAACCCAAAGGAGAGAAACTGGACTTTCATAAGTCATGGGTTCAATTCCAGCTTCTTTTGGAGCAGACATGGTACCCACAAGAAAGGTATTCTACCATCTAACAGATGGCAGCTTAGTTGGTCCCTGGTGTGACTGAAAAAGCAAAGAGATTGAACGACTTAGCTAAAGGAATTATCGTTAAATCATAATGAGCCTTCAGACGGATACACAATTACAAAATAAGCATTATAACACTTCTAACTTTAAGGCAAGCATTGATAGGGAAATAAAAGAGGACAAGACATTTTGACAAACAACGCATTTCGAACAATCAAACAGTGAAAAGTCTTAAATAGAGATATTTTTGATATTGTATCAATTAAGATCTTACCGTGTCCAACTTTGTTTATAGACATTTGTTTCTCCACCAGCAAATTACCTGAAGGTAAAGTAGGAAACAATATTTTAATAATAATGTAAATCAAAACATAAATTTATAAAAGGCATGGATTTAGGGCCAATCCAGAGTGAATGGGACTCAGGATGTCAGCAGAAGTGACTGAGACATTCGAGGAAATAAACATTTCAATGCTGATAACAAATCAAAAGTTTGTTAATTAACATAAATTTTGTGCAAATACTTCCTTTTTTTTTTGGCCACAACAGGGAGCACAGTGTATTTCTCTGCATTCTCAATATCTGTCACCTTGTGTACATTTGTTCTAATCTAAGAGTTTTGTATTAAGTTTAAAATAACTACTACTGCTGACAAGTAAATATCACAAACACATTTGTGAGGCAGCATGGTGAAATCAAGCACTCTTCAAAAGATGAAATCAAAGATACTTGAATTTTTGGGGCGTAGTGCAATTTTTATCAAATTTTCTTTTTTTGGCTCAGAACTTTCATGTCCTTTTAAAATTGTATTTCTATGAATATGTTACCGAAAAATGTTCATTAAAAGCACCAAAAAATGTAAATTTCCAGTTTCCATGGACTCTCAAGCCATGGAAGTCGCCAAACTTTGACGGTCATTTTATCTCGCTAATTCTACTTCTGAAACAAGGCGAACCCATCTTCATCAAACACAAAATTTATCAAATTTTATTCAAGATTGATGGATTTTTTTCCACAGAATTATATAGACAAACGAATAAACTTTAAGATGATACCAATAACTCAACAAGCCCAAAAATTGACGAGCATTTGATTCCAGCCCGTTGTGACACATTCCATCGAAAACTAACATTATATTATTCCAAAGTGTAGATCTAGTGTAGAAAAGGTGTTTTAAAAAAATATTTTTGTTTCCCTTTTTTTTCATTGTTGCATGATGGTCAACTTCTCATTAAAGTTAATAACGGGCATAATTTTATTTCCAGTATATATATTGATCCTAATGTCTGCCTCACAGCTTACATCATGATCAAAATCTTTGCAAAATCATAATAAGATTGGAAGAAAAGAGGTAATTTTTTTTTTTTATATTGAGGGCAAGCGAGGCAGGGGAAGGCCCAGAACAACATACTTGGTAACCTAAACAAATGGGTAACAGGAAAAGATCAGAGAAACGTAGCATTTTTGAGAGTATCCGAGCAAAGGAATGAATGGAGAGCCATGATCGCCGATGTCTGTCGCAGATCTGGCACTGGATGATGATGATGATGATTTTTAAAAATTACGTTCTTCCCAGCTCCTGTTGATGGCTATTTCTCTTCACCTGCACTTACCCAATGATTTACGTACAGGACTCAAAGGGTTGAAATAATTTCTTTCGGCCCAAACGTGGTGTAAGATAATCTTTTACTTTTATTCATATATTTATAATTATATTCTTTTTGACAAAAAGCAGTAATTTAGCACACAATCAAACCCTACCTTCCTTGCCAATGGCTCCTTCTTCAAAGAAAAAAGAAATTCTGTCACCACTGTTCATAAAGTAATCATTTCTTGTCTGAAACACAAAATACACAGCATGAAATTTTTTTATATACAGCGACTTAAGTAGTCGAATAATGATTTCAACATGAAAAGAAAAAGACAGTGTGACTCATTCAGAGAACACTGAGAACAATCACAGCTGAAAATTATAGGCCTACTGATCAGAATGACACCTCACCAACAAACCAATGTATGTGTACAGTGGAACTCGGATTCAACGAGGTCGCCGGGCCTGACCGAAAATCTCGTTGAATCCGAGTGTTCGTTATAACAAACATGAGGTCTTGTGTTGAAAATTACAGGCATTGAGCAAGTAATGTGTAAAGAGAAGTAACAAGTAGTGCCTGAAATGCCTACACATGAAAAAAAGACCGATTCGTTTAAAATCAAATGCACACCTGTGTCATCTCGATTGTCTGGACTAAAAGTTGTTTTGCTGTGTAGAGCCTAGCAGACGGCAACTTATGATTCCTTAGACCAGTGCACAATTCAATACGTAGATCTCCGTCAAGACTAGCTTATCATTGAAATAATGATCAGTTGCCGAGGGTAAAAAAAAGACTGTGACGCGTTTGTATCTGCGACGTTTAACGCCCGGAACACTAATGCCCCCCCCCCCCCCCCCCCTTCCGCGACACACACACACACAGTACACAGTCACCCGTGTGCAGGCCGCCCATCCAACCCCGACACACGCCAGAGTAGACACGTGCGCATGCAAACAACGCATATTGTGTTGGTATGAAAAAAGGCCGCTGATTGGTCTCATGCAATTGGATAAGAAAATAATAGCCTAGTTCACGATACAGTTGCAATGGATGGTTTCCGGGAATAGATCAATTTCATTCTGGGAGAAAAATGATCGAAGCCACGTCTACGGGGACTGTTCACCCTGGAAGTGACCTCGTTGAATCCAAGCTCGCTGATTTAAGTGCTCGTTGAATCCGGGTTATTTTTATTGATTATAAAGAATAAAAAAAAACAGGGAATCTATCTCCCCTCGTTGAATCCGAGCTCGTTAAATCCGAGTTCCACTGTATTAGAAACATTTTTAAGTGATTTTGAAAAATAAGTAAATCAATGTCACAAGGTGCTTACAATAGTACAGTCAAGCATGAAAAATCAAGGGCAGTAATTGTGACAGTATTATAGTCGGAAGCTAAATTTAAACACTGCCATCATGAAAAGCATACAGTATCAATAAAAGGATAGAAGGACAGATAATGAGCGCTCCTTGTTCAGTTCCAAGGCAAGAGAAAGGAAAAGATAGATGCTGATATGCCACAGATTTACAACAGATCTTAAAATATTTTTTTAATTTGCTCTTCTAGATTCTGTCAGATTACAATCATAACATGTAACCAACACTGGTCAGTGCACAAAAAGTACCCCTCTTGGGCAATCACTTCCCAATCCATACCTTTATGTTCAAACGACCACCCACACACACACAAATACACACACCAACACACATACACACAAAGGCACACACACACATATACACACATGCCCACCCACACACACACACACATACAGCCTACACATACACACACATGATACAGCCTATACACACATGCACACAAACATCATTACCACATAATGGCCCAATGCAGAACGACAATGTCTTGGATCACACCTACCCTTACACAACTAGATTCAAGGAAGTTCTAGCGCCTCACAACTAATACTTCTCTACAGGTAATGTATGACAAGTCACAATGCAGCTTGATACTAGCAGTATGTCTTGTTCAGTGTTGAAGCAAGGGAAAAGAAAGAAGTGATGCCAACAAGCCTTCCAACTAATAAAACTTATTTGTTTTAAAAAATTGTTTTTACTTCAGATCACAATCATGACGATATAACCAATAATGGTCAAAGCACACCATCCAAACATCTCGTGTAATCACTTCCTGATCCATGGGCTTACCTTCACATCCTAACACGCACACCACACACACACACACACTCTTGACAATGAATGTCACCATTTGTTCCCCGTAAATTACTACACATTGAGCAGATTTTACACAGTTCAAACAGTTACCTGATTTGTTGTAGAGAAAACAGTCTGATGTTCTTGTGGATTCACATTTTCGACAATTTCATGCATGCGGCTTTTCAGTGAAGATATTTCTTCCTCGCTGAGGAAGTTCTCAATAATGGCAAATCCATTTTCTTGGAGCTGTTGACAAAAAGATATTTACTGATTTTGAACAATTGATAGTAATGCATGTTGTTCTTTCCCAAAAACCTCCTTTTTCCCTCTCCACAACCTTTTTCCCGCCCTGTCTTCTGTAAGCACAGAGACGAAGAGCTTTAACCTGGCCTAACCATACACTATACATGTACTAAACTGCTTGTTAAACAATTTAACATTATGCCTACTACAAAAGTCTATATAAATATTATCATGTTCTTACTACATTTGGAAAGTAAAGGCACTTTAACAATCCCTAAAAAAATAGCAAACTGTCAGAAATAGTTCCGACATTGCAGAACATAAATTGACTCAGATCACACAGAAGTTTGTTTTTTTCGGAAACTAATACTTGGAGGCCTACACTACTTTCTGAACCAAACAGAACAAACATTTGTGAGGTATCGTGGTGAAATCAGGCGCTCGTCAAAGGTCAAAATATTATCACAATAAAGGAACAGGAATTTTCCTGCCAATTGGCTCAACACCTAAGTCCATGTAAAAACACATTTGTGAGGCATCGTGGTGAAATTAGGCGCTCGTCAAAATAATGAAATCAGACATATCGGCATTTTCCCGCCAGTTTAACAATATAATTTCTCATTTTTGTTTTTTTGGCTCAACACTTTTTTGTTCATTCAAAACGATATTCCTGTGTGGATTTCGCTGCAAAACTTTGATTAAACGCTCAACAAATGTGAAGCGGGCTGACAAAACGAGCTACTTCTCGGATGTGAGTCCTATGGAAATAGATACATCATGCTTATAGTTATAGGTAAAGTTTTTACAATTTATAGGTATGAAATAATAAAAGGCACGTTATACTTAAAGAATATAACCGCATCAATAGAAAATCTAAAAATTTGACCCTAGAGTCAATTTTTCGCTAATATCTCCATTTGTGGATTGCGAGAACTGACTCATTTTGTCAGCACACCTCACAAATACATTTCCAATTTCCAAGAACTCTAAAGCTTTGGAAATCAACAAACTTTGCAGATCATTTTCTTGCTAATTTTACTTCTGAAACAAGGCGACCCCGAACTATTGCAATTGCAAATGTCTCGACTTCTATTCAAGATGGAGATGTGTATTATTTTTATAGAAAGACAGTCGAATAAACAAACTTTAAGATGATACCAATAACTTCTGATGCGCAAAAATTGACTAGCGCCTGATTCCATCGTGTTGTAACACATTTCCATGAGTATTTGACTGAAAATGGTTGATCAAAGGCACAATAATTTTCAATTTTCAAGGACTCTCAAACTATTAAAGTTACCGAACTTTGGCGTCCATTTTCTCACTAATTTTACCACTGAAACCAGGCGATCCCACCTTCAATCGAAAATATCTCAACCTCTTTTCAAGATAGATGGGTAATTTTTTCATTGAAAACAAGGCAAATTTTTTTTAAAGAATAAGCTTTTAGATGATAGCAATAACTCCACATGCCCAAAAATTGACGAGCGCCAGATTCCACTCTGCATCGTGACATATTGGACTCTCTCTTTTAGTAAAAAGAAATATATTTATAATTTGTAAGTTAATCCTAAACACTTTAACCCTTAATTAACGTTAACAGTATAAATTTTATAAAATTTGCCGGGCAGTGTTCTGTAAAAAAGCAAGTGGCATCAGTAGATTAGTGGATAGGTTCTCAGACTCAAAACCATAAGCCATAAGCTCATGGGTTAATATCCCATCAGGGGCCTGACTTTGAGTCCTTGGGTAAAAGGTACACTCAAACCCGGTTATATCGCCTGCCTTGGGACGAGCATGAAGTTGGCGGTACAGTGGGGCTGGCGGTACAACGAGGCTTTCATGTCCTGTAAAATACATGTAGCACTGACAACCAAACATCACCAGATGAAGTAATGACTTATCTCCTTTCGATTTGTCACTTAGACTAGAGTGTGAGTCCTCACTAAATAAAAGCCCCACGGGCATTCGCCAGCCTGTTAGTTACTGGGCTGACATCTGGCGCCTCCAGATATTTTTCCAGTGGGCCAAGATGACGAGGTTCCTTTCAAGTTTCTCCAGGCGAATTAAAAATCTAATTCCAATTTTTAAATATTTCTTTTCTTGATCAAAGCCGACAAATAATAGTATTTTCATTATCACCGCATCAAATTTAGTCGGATTCACGCAGGGAGCGAAATTTGATGCTAAATTACAAAGTTATGTTTTATTTTACCATCTGAAATCTACAAGTACAAGACAATGGTGGGGAGGTGGAATGGGGGGAGGGAGCAGATCGGCAAAAAGGTTTTGATCTAGACCCAGGCCTAGTTCATAGAGACCTGTGTGAAATATTGTCAAGCAACCACAGGCAAGAGCGAATGTGCCATGCGTCATTTGTACTGTGTACTTCTGGCTGCCAGTTCCCTGGCGGTAATAAATTTACAGTAGTTTAATAAGGACCGTTCAACTGAGACAGTTGGTGGATGGCGGTGTAAAAGCGCAAATACTATGTTTATGTTGTTGTTGTTGTTGTTATCGATCCAGCAGCACAGCTGGGCTCTCGCCCTTCTGTCCAATGCCACGTAGTGATAAGTGCAGGTTTGCTGCAGTTGCTGTAATGTTCCATAGAGTGTGTTGTCAATGTTAGGTCTCGGAGAGAGAAGGGTAGCACTGATGTCATTTAGGGCTGTGCAGTGGAACAGGTGATGCTCCACAGTCTCATATGCATAGTCACACAAGGGACACATTGGGGATATACTATGTTTATATAGAGGGGACTCTTTTCATACACTAACAAAACCTGGTGGTTAGCGGGGCTGACAGTACAAGTGACTGTACTTTGAATTTTCGTCACTTCACTCAGTTGGGAATGGGCACCCAGCCTAAGACAGTGAAAGATCTTCAGTTTCTTAGTGTTTATAAGCGCATGCAATCTTCAGCTCGCACTGTGTGCTTCTCGGGATGACAAAAGAATGTTTCTGAGGGTCTCATCATCATCAAGTGCAATTTCTGCGGCAGACATCGGCGATCATGGTTCTCCATTCATTCCTTTGCTCAGATGCTCTTAAAAAAGCCATGTTACCCTGAACTTTCCCCCTTACCCATCTGATTAGGTTCTCTAAACAGGTTACTCTGGGCCTACCCCTGCCTCGTTTGCCTTCAATTTCGCCAGCGAGAGCTAGATCTAGATATTCAAGACCTTATGTCTTTTCAGGAGTCCCAAAAACTGCATTTGTCTTTTCCTGATGGTTTTTATCAATATATGCATCCTACGTTGGCTTTATCAAGTGCTACCTCATTTGATTTCTTTCTTTCCCTTCCAAGAAATTCTCAGCAGTCTCCCCTAAGAAACCACATAATTTCTGTGGCTTTTATTTTATTTTCAATGTCTTTAGAGATTGTCCAGCATTCACAGCCTATGGATTGACTTTCATTTTGGTAGTCATTGATGATTGAGACATATTTATTTTTCAGGATTGGGCTCATTTTTATTAAAACTATCCTTAGCCATTGCATAATATTTGAAATCAGACGTTATTTTTTTTCCTCGATATTTACACTGTTGGACTTGTTTGATCTTTTGCCTGTGCTTTTGAGATTACAAAAACAAGATTTGCTGCTTTTTTTAGAAATCACCATGCATTGCCTTTTCTTCACATTCAACAATAACCCTTTATGTTCAGTTTCCGTTACATCAGTATCTAGTTCAAGTGATTGAAGGTCCTTTCTGAGTCTGCTATTAGCTCACTTGAAAGAGCCTATTCCCGTCTATTTACGGGACGCCCCGCTGGCCCGGGGGCTTCCATGTATTTACGGCACGCACTTTCGCTATCGATATCTCCGGTGTTTTTCGGTAGGCCTACAAGATACGCGAAGTGGTGAGTCAACAGTTGACCCACTTGTTTCGTTTCTATAAAAATTTTGTGAAGTTATGTGCGATACTTTTTGAGCTGTAACGGATTGGATCTAAGTCAGACATCCCTGCGTTGCGATATATGATTTTATTATAAATTTGGCGCAAGAGAAAAAAAATTGCATAACCCCAGACATTGCCATTTCAAACTATTGATAAAACAAAAAACTATTTGTACAAATTAGATGCAGTTTCCCTTTTCTTTCAGAGTATTTCTTTCTTTCTCTTGTTGCAGTTTTGTTATGATAGCTTTTCAGTTTGAAGTCCTTTTGTGGTTAACGCTTCAATAAATACACCCCAAAAGTGTTAGGCTGCAATGGTTTTTGGGTGAAAAATAGTTCAGGCTCAAGTGAGTTAAAACTGTTGTGTCATCAATGTATATCTGATCTAGGGTCTGCTGCGGTTATTATTAAATATAGAAGCCTAATTAAAGGTTGTAAAGCACATAGAGCACGCTGTAGAGCATGAATGCACACCTTTGGGTTCTAGCCCTTTGGCCTGAGGTACACCGTATAAATTATAAATATGCAGTACAAATATTCATTATATAAATTATATTGCCAATGAATTAAAAACCAACCAGAACAGCTATTCCCCCCCCCCCCCGCCCGGTAAAAAAACCCCTCTTTCTGTAATTGCACTTCTGCCTGGTACAATCTTAATTTTAAAAGTAGGCCTACATATATATAACAGGAAGAGGCTAGCCATACTTAATGACGATATACGGCTAGGCTAGCCGTACTTAAGAATGGCTAGATCTAGACTGGCAGGCTAGCCGTACTTAATGACGGTTCTAAAGACGGCTGGGCTAGTCTTACATAAGGACGGCTAGACTAGCAGGGTAGTCGTACTTAATAATGATGACTAGACTTGACAAAAATTAACTGAATTGTAAATAAATTTTAGTTTGAAATACCTAAAGTAGTTGAATTAGAGATGAAACCAAAAGGTGCCTTACTGACATGCATGTATTTTAAACCTGAATATTATAACTAATGTGTGTACTCAATATTTTTTTACACCAAGTCAATGTCAAAGATACATGTATTATATAATACTAGATCTAGTATAGAATTAAAAAGCAAATTGCTCTCAGTTGGTTCATATTTCGTGAATTTTGTTGATTACTCACTTTTTTTTTTCTTTTTTTTTTCTTTGGTATAAAACTAAAAAGTGTTTAACGGCGTTTGCAACTGCATAAAAGGTCATATATGAGCGCGCATGACACATAAAACTTTTTCAGTGAGTAGGAAATTTTGAATTTTGCCCAGGTGGCGGCTGAAGCCTAGATCTAGATCTAGATCTATTCTTTTATTGATTTTAGACCACTAAGGGATCTTTAACGTGTGCGCAACTTGCACACGGCCCTTCGAGATTTTTCGCCCTTGTCCGAGAAGGCTAGGTGTAGATCTTTCTTACCAGAAGATCAGGGGTGTGGCTCAAAGACAGCAGTAAGAAGGAGCAAAGGAGTAGCAGTACTAGAAAGGCTGCAGAAAGAGTCAGGAGCCAAGAGGTGGGGGCAAAGGAGGTGAGGGGGTGGGGGTAGAAAGAGGAGATGAAAGCAGACGACAGAACATTGCTTGAGATCAGGAAAGAAAGTGTATGGTAGTGCTGGATCCCGGTATCGATTCCGTTCACTGCTCGCAACTCCCACTTCCGGGAATCAACTCCCAACTCACTTGAGCAACTCAGTTCAACTCAGTGCAATTCAGTGATTCAGCAAAGGTTTTCTACTCTGAATATTAATTTTTTAATCTCAATTGTTAAAATGTAATGAGCCCACGGCAGTTTATGATGCCAAAACAAAATACAGCCAGCCTTTCTATGAGCGGCAGTAGATTTGCAGGTCAAAAAAGCCTGTCAGCTGTCAGCGAGTAGCGAGCGGCAACGCCGGAGATTCACCTCAGAGCAACTCACTTGCTGCTCGCAACTCAGTGAATCGATTCAGGAGTTGACACTATATTTAGTGCGGTGAGTGCGAGTAGACCTGTCCGCAACTCAGTGAATCGATTCAGGAGTTGATACCATATATGGTGCGGTGGGTGCGAGCAAGCCTGTCCGCAACTCAGTGAATCGATTCAGGAGTTGATACTATATTTAGTGTGATAGATGCGAGCATACTACTCGCAACTCAGTGAATCGATTCAGGAGTTGTTCCTATATAAGCCTATAGCTTCAACTCAGTTCATAGGTCATTGATGGCTTCAACTCAGTTCATAGGTCATTGATGGTTTCAACTCAGTTCATAGGTCATTGATGGTTTGGTGTTATGAATAGCTAGTCCTAGGGGGGAAGGTTATGCTATAGTTAGGTAGTCTGTCGTTCAGCCATTGAGAGCTTGCATGGTTGGAAGGGCAGAGGAGGGGGGTCGGTGGGCGGGTTGGTCGGCTGGGTAGGCTATCATGTAGTATGGGCCCGCGGTGACGGCGCGTGTGACGAGCGATGGGGTAATTATTACACTATTTATGAATAGGCACCGGCAGAGTAGCCTGTGAATGGGTGTAACACATGATGTAATGGACAACGTAAGAGTGGGCAGCGCGCTGCTGGGGCGACTCACCCGCTGTCGGTAGCGCTAGTTTTAAATCTAGGCCAAGAAGACTATATCTAACGGGGTGTAGGGTTAGATGAGTGGCACATATTTAATTAGGGACGCTTAGAGCTGAGCTGTGATTGGCTTTGGATTGAGACAGAGGTTATTATACAATAGTAAGGTCCTTGTCTTTGGGGTGAGTTGATGCATGGTCAGTCCATTGTTTATACATTACAGGGGGGTGAGCTGATGGAGTTCACTGGTAACTGACTTTGAAATGAGCTGCAAAGTAAATTAAAATACGATGCATATTAAAATAAAGTTTAAACAATTACAGTAATATTATAACATACACAGACATAACACCCGTCCACAACGAAAGCAAAAGATATGTTCTTTAAATTGTTACGTCTAACAGCTGTTCTCTCTATTCAAATAAAGCAAATCAGTATTCTCTTTGATTAGCTAATAACTTCCTCGTATATAAACGATGGTTATCACAAATTCCACCTCCCTGAGCTTTCTCTGATCTGCTCTACACTCTTGCGCTTGTTGTATGCTCGACTTTCCTCATCTCTTGGCTTACTTGACTCCTCAGACTTTTTTTCTTTTTTGCCTTTCACATTATTTTTTACTCCTTACGATCCGTTGTTTCTCTGTTGAGGTCTTTGTATCTCTGGAAATTTGCATATATATTATTTATAAAATTCATTTTGTTGCATTGTCGCATAAAGTTTAATTGGCTGATTGCACTACATTGTCCATTTCTGTTGTTTGTTGTTGAAATTTACTCTTTGTAAGAACTTGTTATTAGGAAATGTCTGCCAAGCCAAGTCTATGTTGGAAATTGATAACACAAAAGAGTGGCGGTGTTGGCGGTGCCAAAATTGCTGTGTGCGATGTATGCAAATGTGAGTTGGCCTACTCGGGAAGATCAACTACAAATCTGCTCAGGCATTTGAGAAAAAAACATCCTCTTCACATTGCTCAATTTGAGGAAGTGAGTGAAAGCTCATCTACTACAAGTGTTCCTGCTGCTGCCTCTTCTTCGACTACTCAGAGCTCTGCGCCCACAGCTGGTCCAAGTAGGTCTACACAACCAACTCTGTTCGACACCATAGAGAGAGTGACAAAGTATAAACCAGGGAGTGACAGAAAGAAGGAACTAGACAACTGTGTGCTGGATCTGGTTACAGTCGACCTACAACCTCTTTCAGTGGTAGAAAATACAGGGTTTCGGCGACTGGTGAACAAGCTGGATCCTCGTTACGACATCGTCTCAAGGAAAACCTTGTCAACTCAACTGCTACCTATGAAATATCGAGCAGAGAGAGATCAGCTGAGGAGACAGATGGACGAAGTGAACCACCTCACTGTCACCACAGACTGCTGGACCTCACGAAAAACTGAATCTTTCATGACAGTTACCGTACATTTTGTCTCCCCTGACTGGAAGCTAACTTCTAGAGTTCTCAACACGGTGTTGCTGGAGACAACTCACACGTCTGAAAACCTCGCAGCTAAGATCTTAGAAATTTTTACAGCTTGGGGGATTAAGGACAAAGTGACTACCATTGTCACGGACAACGCAGCCAATATGAAGCTTGCGGTTGAGTTAATGAGATGTCGACATCAGCCATGCTTCGCCCACACCCTCAACCTCGTAGTCAAGGAATCCATCAGAAAGACGTATGATGTGTTCACAGCAAAAAACAAGGTGAAAGACATTGTTTCGTTTTTCCACCACAGCGTCAACGCCAGTAATTTGCTCAAAGAAGCCCACAAAGCTAAAAACACGACACCGAAGAAACTTAAACAGGACGTGGAAACTCGCTGGAACAGTACCTTCGAGATGCTCAAGTCATACTTGGAGCAGCACGAACAGGTGACCACAGCCCTGTGTCTGAATGGCAAACAAGACATGTGCCTTAGCCCCATCAAGTTGCCAGTTTTGCAGAAGGCAATGGAGGTCTTGGAACCATTCCACGAGGCAACAGTAGAGATATCTACTGAGCAACACACCTCCGTGGCAAAAATTGTTCCCATAGTGTTCCTTTTGCGCCGTTTGACAGCCCAAGACAGGTCGCCCCTCAGCAACTGCCTCAATTCTCAGCTCAGTCAGCGTTTTGAAAACATTGACGAAAAGACGCATCTGAGGCTGGCTACACTGTTGGACCCCAGGTTCAAGCGGGATGGTTTCCCAACAACAGCATCAGCTAACTCTGCTGTGGACAAACTAAAGACCACTGCCATGCCCATTGCGCTGCCACAGCAACCAGGACAAATTCAAACAACAGCAAGCAAGGAAGAAACAACAGCTCCACCTCCTGCTAAGAAAGTGTCGAAGCTCTGGACACAGTTCGACCAAGCGGTCAAAGGCAAACAGGCTGCTGTGCCCAGAGTAGCAGGAGTAGAGAGTGAAATCCGTCGCTACTTGGACAGTGACATGATGCCACGGGACTCCAACCCCTTGACTTGGTGGAGAGAGAACGCGATTTCGTCACCAAGGCTCAATCGCATCGCGA